GTGGGTCCCACGAGGCTCCCCAGGACAGGACCAGCCACCACTCCCAAGGCTGAAGCATCTCATCTGCTCCCGAAGCCAGGGGCTGCCTGGCTCTCGGACCCTTCCCAAGGCTCCCCAGCCTGCAGACCCCCACAGCCTCCAGCTGCACGTATGTTTTCTTTCAACTCCCCAGGCACTTTCAGACAAAACCATTTGTCCGACAAAGCTTTTACCTTTTTCTAGCTGACTTAGACAAAATAAAACAAAAAAAAAAGAGTCCATTACTCACAAAGTAGCTTATTTGACCACATACCTGCACAGAGAGGCCCTCACCCGAGCAGCAGGAGCACTTAATCTCCGCTGCTGCCCAGCAATCAGGGTCTAGCGTCAGTACAAATACACTGAGTGTTACCAAAGGCTGAGCAGGACGGAGCAACCGGACTATTCAGCACCAGAATGAAGCGTGACAGGGCCAGCCCAGCTTTGAAAGGCCAGTTATGCAAGGTCCCTCTGACAGCAGTGACACTGAATTGTTTTAAAGGGCTGCCAGGTAGAAACCAGCAGTGATAAGATCTTAACATCTCTTGAACCAGAAATGGTTAGGGCCAAGACCTAAAATAATTTAAGTTAACCGCAAATATGCGGAAGAGAATGCTGGAGTTCCTCTCTACAGCTGCCTGGATACCCCTGCTCTGGGCTGGCAGCATCCTGGGCTCCAGGGTTGGCATTATCTCAGAAAGATGAGGTCTAAAAGCGCCACCTCCATTTCAAGCACCTTTGGGTGCCAAATCCCTCTTCCTAGGCTTTCAGACATTCCCAACAGTGGGAGTGTGTCCCTGGAGTGAGCCAGAGCACCCCTCACTTTACCTGGGGCCCCAGATAGGAGGAAAACACAGTTTCCACAGCACCAGGGACAATTCTGGCTCTCCTGGCTTAAAAAAAAAAAAGCCATTGCTGTTGGTCATCACCTTCATCTGCAGCCTGACACAAAAGGAGGTCCAGCCTTGCACCAGGACTTAGGAAAAGCCTGACAAGCAGCTCTGATCTTATCAGTTCTGGGTTACTTCGCTACTTGGAAACTGCAGCTGTTTCTGCCGAGGCCAGGCAGGACGCTCTAGGCCCAGATGTTCTGCAGGAGGCAAAGTGATGCCTCCTCACCTTCCAGGCTCCTGGAGCAGCTCCAGGTCTGGTTTTCCCATCCCTTCAGTTCCTCCTGAAGGCCTCACCCAACTGTCAACGCAAGGATGAAAGTGCCCAGAGAAGCTGTGGTCCATGTAAGCCAACCAACCCATCCAATGGGCAGCTAGGGGAGCAGCTGGGAGCCCTGGGGTGTCAGAAAATGGGTTGGACAACTCTTACCTTACAGAGGATGAACCTCCGGACGAGGAAGAACAGGACAGCAGACATGATGCCCGAAAGGAGGGGTGAGATGAACCAGGACAATACTAGGAGAGAAGAGGCACAATCAGCATCCCGCTGCTGGGAGCCCAGGGGGCACATGGAGGTGGTCACACAAGCTGGACTTACCAATCTTTAGCAGCTCAGACCACTTGACACCCTCCTGCCCTTTGGCCACCAGTGAAAAGCCAATGGTTGCACCAACGATGCAGTGGGTACCAGAAATGGGGAGCTTCAAGAACGAAGCCACTAGCTGCCACACAGCAGATCCTGGAGGAGAAGCCTGGTAAGAAAGCCATCACTGGGGGCACCTTGGGGCACACTGCACACCAACCGCCCACTCCACCACCACCACCATTTTGACACCCTATTCCTCACCGAACATGGCGCTGATCGACCCCGCCATCAGCAGCTGCTGGGTGGAGTTGTACATCTCCACGTCGATCAGCCCTTTCCGGATGGTCTCGCTGACTTTGGCTCCCAGGAGGACAGAACCCACCGTCTCAAAGACGCTGGCCAAGATGCAGGCTTGCCGGAGGGTCACCACCCCTGAGCCCACTGCTGTCCCAAAGGAATTGGCCACGTCGTTGGCACCAACAGAGAAGGCCAAGACGAAGGCGATGATGAAGCCC